CCAAATAAAACTTAAAATAATCTATTATATTTGCATAGTAGGCACCCATCATATTTACCCTGTAACAGAAATGATAGGGATTTATGGATCATTAGATATGACTTTTGAATTCTGTGTACCCTCAAGGCCCATCTCAGACTGGCCACATCAAATTCTCTTCAATTTTCATTTAGATTTTACATTTTGTCAAAAACTCTGGAAAGCTTCAGTGTGGGCACTAATTAAAAATAATCATTTTCTGAAGTTCGGTGAATGTTTTTAAAGTGTAAGAACCTTGGAAAACAGTGAAAATGATTGTTTCCGGGCATGCCTGGGAATATTATCTTTTGTATAATCTTGTGCTTGAACACTTTTTATAACCATTTTCCTTTATCGTTTTCCCAAAGACAACACAGACTGTGAACCAGAAGAAGCTGCTGAAGTTGAAATCAGAGTACTGACTGATGACACGATATAGTCAATAAATAGGTAGAATAATACCTGCTTGCACCAATGTATGCAGTGTTTATAGATATTCAAATTGATAATAAATGTGAAAAGGCTTTGGAAGCAGATTGTTTCTTTGCCTTTTGGCCAAGATCAGGTGGTGAATGCTTTGGAAAACATCACAAAATAAAGGGGCACTTAAAAGATTAATGGACCTTAAACTGGTTTTCCAATTATAATAGAACCTGGGGATCTTTTGAAAACATCTGATACCTACATACTAATATTTTCTACTACTCCCACTCCCCAATAATTCAAACGTGCAGCCAAGGTCAGGAGCCAGGAGATTAGGCAAATCCCTGTATTTCCACCTTGGTAAAGATTCGGATTCAGTAGAAATGACGAAGCCCTGATAAATCCCTGCTGTAAAGCCAATTCATAAGTTTCTCTGTGATCCACTCCACTCTCAGTATAAATCAGTCATGGTTTATGATAGGCTAAGCAAAGCTGCCAGGCAGACCATTTTCTTATTATCCTCCGACATGATTTCTTCTGTGTAGCAACTGGCCTTCACTTAAGGAAGTTGGCATCCAAATTAGGGGAGTCTCAGGAAAACAGCTGCCATACTGTACCTTGCCTTGGGGAAAGATCAACCCTTCATTTCTGGGAATAGTTAGTCATCAGACATGTCATCAGCCTTACCAAGCACTTAGTTCCTTTTCCCTTGAGGTAAAACTGACTCACTTTTCCAGAGTGACAGCCATAGATGGTAGAGAGACTAGATAGATACATTACCAATGCAAGGATAGCTTATCTCACTGAATTTCTTCAGCATACATGCCTCTGGGTACCATTAGACTAGAAAACCATTAAACCATTCCTGTACAAGTGTAGATAGTGTCTTTTGCCTCATAAAAGATTCATTTTTTGCTGTAAATGTAATCCCTTATTTCTCATAGCAAGCAGGACTAGCCAATAAATGCCATGTGGAGCTGGGGGACTGACTCAGGAGGTAAAGTTCGAGCTGCCCAAGCATAGGACCTGTGTTCCGATCTCCAGCATCCACAAAAAAAAAAAAATCTAGGAGATGGCAGTGTGTTCCTGGAACTCCAGGACTGAGGGTTAGACACAGGAAGATGAGACATTTGGTGAGCTCTAGGGTCAGTAAGAGACCTCGTCTCAAATGCTAGGGTGAGAAGGTAAGGAATGAGAGAGGAATATGCCTCGGTCAGACTTGGACCTCTGTAGGCAGCATGCTCCTGTACACATGCATACACATACACATACAGGGTACACCCACACACAGAGGAAGAAAGAATGACAGAGAAAAGAGGGAGGATTGTGTGGCTGAAGAAGCGTTTGAACCAAAACGACTCTCTAGGACTCCTCATTCCTATCAGCCTTCTGACATCTTCAATTGTTCCCAAGCCCTTCCTCATCTTCCTCATGAATGACCTGCACCGGAAAGTTAATCCTGTTGACTTTGTCCGCTCATTATTCTGGTGTAATGTGACTCTTTGGAATTGTCTCTAGCACACCACTGCAACTCCCAGCCCCATCATTAATTCTCACTGGAACTTCCTATCATGGATGCATTCTTCATTCTCTGCCTCGTGTTCTTCAAATTTAATCCAGTACCACAAATGCAAAAAGGTATACTTGCATGTCACCTGTGTCCAGCAATATGACTGACTGTTAGTTATTGGTGTGCTGACTTCTCTTTACTTAATCTGTAAAAGTACACTAATAATTTGACTCAATAAATGACTGGAATATATTAAAGTGGAGAAACAGCTTCTAAACCAGTGGTTCTCAACCTGTGGGTCACAACTACCAAACGACCCCTTCACAAGGGTCGCACATCAGATATCCTGCATCTCAGATATTTACACTATGATTCATAAACAGTAGCAAAATTACAGTTATGAAGTAGAGATGAAAATAACTTTGTTTGGGGGTGGTCACCACGACACGAGGAACTGTACAAAAGGATTGCAGCATTAGGAAGGTTGAGGACCACCGTTCTAAACTGTATAACTGTTACAAGGAGCTCACATTGCTGGAAGTGCTTCTCCATTGAGCTAGTATGCTAATATCCAGTCATCCTGTCTTTTCTTGAGGTCTCAGTATTACAGGATTTAAAAAAGAATGTCTTCCAGGTTGTGTATGTGTGTATACACACATATCAGACTATGAGGCTGGACAATGTAGGATTCATAAACCCTATGCCTCTGCTTAAAGATCCTCTTTTTACTGAACCATGAGTCTGGCTTTCCTCCTTGGTTTTCAAGACAGAGTCCACATTCTCTATCTTCCCCACGAATCCCTTTTTTTCTCATGATAGTCCTATTCCCAGAAGTAATCTGTAGTACAAGGTTCCCTACAACTTGCTCTTCTTCTACCCATCCGATTTTAAAGTTTTGGCTAACGTGAATTTATTAATATAAAATAACACAAGCCTGGGTTCTATATGTAACTTCAATATTAATATCCTTACTATTTTATTTATTTGCATTTCCAGTTCTATGATAATTAAATCCTTGCTAGACATCTCCTGTAATTCACAATGTTGCCAAAAGGATAATAACAACAAAATAGTTATGTTCATGGTGCCTGACGTCAACTCCTCTGCCTAACTTTCCCCTCCTGTTCTTCCTTATTCTCACACAGGTCTCCTGGTTCCAAACACATCATCAGTAACTGCCTGGTCCCAACCACACTTCATTCAGGATATTTCTCAAATGTACCATTTTCTTTTGTATGTGCCCTGAAAGAAGCTTCAAAGGTTCCTCATCACCTCTCACCCAGATGGCTGCATGAGTATGCTCACCCCTCTGCTTCCAGAAAGGTTCATTCATATTATCCAACACAGAATTGTTCTAGATTGCTCCAGAAACTCATCTCTGATGGGTTGGCTTTCTCTGGTTCCATGAGGTGCCCCCTCTCTCATCTCTACATTCCTACTCACTGCCCCTCCTTACCTAGAACTCTTCTCCCTCTCTGCCCCTGATTTACAAATCGTCCTCCTTTGTCTTCAGAGAGGCTCGCTTTAATCATTGACTTCTCCAGGATCCCTTCCAGATCCCTCTTACCTGGAAATAATCCTAGTATCATTAAGCTGTCAAGGGTTAACCGATTTTATAATACCTAATACCTTCCAGCCTGCAGGCTTTTATGACTGTATTTTGAGCTCTCAAGAAAGCAGATCATGCCCGATGCTTCTCTGATTCCCTTAGACATTTCAGTTGTCAGCAAAATGCTCAGTGAATGACATTTAATTAAATGGAAACCACGGTATTAGATTATCTCATCTGTAGAGTTAAGACCCCCTCTTTGTCTGAGCGATTTTACATGCTACAGGATTTTTCACCATACTTGCTGTCTCTGTCCTCTCATTCCTGCTTCTACTGTCTGCCCCCAAACCATACTGTTTTGTCAGTTATTGTTTCATGATGTCTGTGATATGACACAACGATAAAGATCATTTACTCTAAGATCTGCATAAGAAAATCATCCAAGCACAAAATTATACTTATCTGACAAAAGCGATATACACAGTTTTTTTTTGGGGGGGGGGGGATTTAATTTTGTGTGAAAAATTCCAATAAAAACATTATTATTTATGGTCTAGAACTTCTATAAATTGTTCTGTTTCTTTGCCAGCTGCTTATTTTTATTTATATTTTATTTATTTTTTGTTTTTTTTTTCAAGACAGGGTTTCTCTGTGTAGTTTTGGTGCCTGTCCTGGATCTTGCTCTGTAGACCAAGCTGGCCTCAAACTCACAGAGATCCACCTGGCTCTGCCTCCCGAGTGCTGGGATAAAAGGCATGCACCACCGCTGCCCAGTTGTCAGCTGCTTATTAAAGATATTGATGAACTATTTTTGGTAGGTTCTGCCTGTCTCTCTTCACGGTCACATCCTCTAATTTTCTTTATTAGTAGTATGTTGTATTAGCATTACATCTGTTACAGCTGACCAGCTGAAATTCCATCGTTGATCAGAGTCTATAATTTACATCAGGGTTCATTTCTTGTGCTATAGATTGCATATGCTTTCATGGCACATAATGATGTGTAGCCACAATTTTCATCATCCTGAGCAGCCTGTGGTCTTATTTGCCATTTCCTCTCACCAATCCCTGACAGCCACAGATCTTTCCACTCTCTCCATAGACTACCTTTTAAACTGAACCATCTTTTCTTGAATGCCATACAACTAGGATAATGCAGGGTGTAGGGCTTTCATTTCAAAATGTATTTAACATTTGTCAATTCTCCTCATAGCCTGATACCTTTTTTTAATTGCCTTATTTAGTTATTTATTTAAATTTTTAAATTTTACATACCAACCCCTGTTCTTCCTCCCTTCCCTTCTCTGGCTTCCCTCCACCTCCTCCAATCCCACCCTCATCCACTCCTCATAGGGAGTAAGGCCTCCCTTCAGTATTCAACACAGGCTGGCATATCAGGTTGGGGCAGGTCCAAGCCCCTCTCCACTGTGTCAAGGCTGAGTAAGTCATAGCTCCATAGGGAATGGGCTCTGAAAAGCCAGTTCATATAGCAGGGATAAGTAAAAATATGGAACGCCTCATGAATTTGCATGTCATCCTTGCACAGGCACCATGCCAAGCTTATCTATATTGTTCCAATTTTAGAATGTGTACTGCTAAAGCAAATACTTGATACCTGATTTTTTATTATTTATTTATTTATTTATTTATTTATTTATTTATTTATTTATTGTTTTTTGAAAGAGGGTTTCTCTGTGTAGTTTTGGTGCCTGTCCTGGATCTCGCTCTGTAGACCAGGCTGGCCTCGGACTCATAGAGATCTGCCTGGCTCTGCCTTCTGAGTGCTGAGATTAAAGGTGTGGGCCACCACTGCCCAGCAGTACATTATTTTTAACAGTGAGTAATATTCTGATACCTTATTTTTAACAGTGAATAATATTCCATTATATAGACATTGCATGGTTTGTTTATCTTTCTGTTGAAGGATATCTATTAAATGTAGGAAATTATAAATTAAACAGTTATAAGTATTTATGTGTAGGTATTTGTGTGGATATTGGTTTCCAACTTATTTAATAAATCCTATGTCACATTTATTTTTCAGAGCCTGATAAGAGTGTAATCATTTCTATAAGACACTGCCCAACTAGTACCATGGCATTTCCAGAAATGATGAATGAGATTTTCTCTTGTCCTACCTAGTCACCGGCAAAGTGCAGTGTTTAAGTTTTGATTTTTATGTAGTCTATCAGAGAGGTGGTGGTTGCTCCTTTGTTACTTGAAGTTTTGATCTCCTTGTATAAGTGATACTTACCACCTTCCAGTATGATTGTATACTGTCTCAGCTCCTTCATTGACTGGGTATCTAATCATAAATGCTTTCTATATTTTCTTAAGGCTGTTTTTCCCTGCCATGGCTGAACTTTATGAGTTCTATCTACGGTTTAAGATACTAATCTATCATCTATTTTATATAGATATTTTCTTCAAGTCTGTGGCTTATTTCATTCTGTGGCCATGACTTCCACAGAGAAATTTTAGTTAAAATGAAGAGCAACTTGCCATTTTATTCTTGCATGGAGTGTACTTCTGATGCTGTGCTTTAAAAGACACAATCAAACTCAAGGTAAAGTAGATTTTTTCTTACATTATTTTCCACGGATATTTTACTTTTCATTTTACATTTGGCATATGCCTCATTCTAAATTAATCTTAGTAAAGGGCAAAAGACCTGTGTGTAGAAATTTGGGAGGATGTATATGAGTGTTTAGTGTTTTCAGAGACAGTTATTGAAAAGAACATTCATTCTTATCATGCTGCATCTGCTCCACAGTTGATGATGTATTGACTGTGTGTGTGAATTGACTTCTTGGTCCTTTTACCTGTCTCCTTGGTGAATTTCTTATTGGCCCACACTACACTGTCTTAAAGACTAACTTTACAATAAATGGGTAGTGGCAAAGTTTCAACTTTGTTATTACCTTCCAATGTTGTGTTGCTTTTCTAGAACACAATGCTTATGGAATCAGAACTGCAAAAGAAACTACATGATAGAATTATTCCAAGTAATCTATAGTGCACTTATTTACCCAATAGACTGTGAGAAACTCAGCAATAACTGATATATTTGTTTTGTTCCAGAATGAGACAGATTGTCTACTGTGTGAAAAAGGAAAAAGGAAAAGGAAAGCATTAATAAATATCCACTTGTTTAATTGATCAACTGAATTACCAACCATGCAATAATTAAGTACATACATAAGCTCCATTCTGTGTTTGAATTAGGCTCATTATCAGCAGCACAAAAGTTAATAAAGTTGGACTAAGACCTTATTAATATATCCAGATATTACTTGAGACACAGAAACTCGGCATCATTTTATATAGAGAGAAACTACTGTAAAGGTTTAATTCCTTTCTCCCTGCCTCCACTTCCCCCCATGTGCTCATCTCAACTCCACAGTAGGCACAGAAATAGATACTTAAAAGTGTAAATGAGCTGGGCGGTGGTGGTACACACCTTTAATCCCAGCACTCGGGAGGCAGAGGCAGCTTCCTATGAGTTCAAGGCCAGCCTGGTCTACAGAGTGAGTTCCAGGACAGCCAGAACTGTTTCACAGAGAAACCCTGTCTTGAAAGACAAAAAAAAAAAAAAAAAAAAGTGTGTGACTGTGGCCGGGCGGTGGTGGTGCACGCCTTTAATCCCAGCACTTGGGAGGCAGAGGCAGGCGGATCTCTGTGAGTTCGAGGCCAGCCTGGGC